AAAAAAAAATTTTTTTTTTTTTAAGGGGTTTAAAAAAAAAAAAAAAAAAAAAAAAAAATGTACAGAATATGCACCAAAAAACATAAATTTTTTTTTTTAACACTTAATTATCATTGCCAACAATAATTATGATATAGAAAATAAATAAACTCATGAATGAATGAATGAATGAAAGAAAGTCATAAATAGAAAAATGTTCATTATATTTGCACCATCCGCAAACTAAAATTAAAATTTTAAAATTGACACAATGAAAACACAAGCATAACATATTTCAATCAATCAGAAAAAAAAATTTTTCTTCTTCTCTGTAATTGAAATGAATGGTGTGAAAAAAATAACCAAATTTTTTTTTATTCAATTTTATTTCAAATATTTTGTATTTCATTCAATTGAATTTACTGATATAATTTATGAATCATTTAAATAAATTGATCATTCAATTTATTTCGATTACCAACAATACAAATATTATTACAAAAATTAGAAATAGTTTGATTTTGACGATTTAGCTGTCGATATGATTCACGTATATGTTTTGGCATTAATGGTCCTTGTTCACCGATTGATTGTTGATAATCTAATGCTATTTTTTTTGGGGGGGGACATAATTTTCGAATTAAAAAAAAATCATTCATTCATTTAACTACTTTTATCGATTGATTGTTTTCAATTTACCTGTTTCAATTAATTGTCCAACATAAACTTTAGCAATACCTGCTAATGCAATTGCAGTACGATCATTGATAGTTACATTTGTTATTGAACGTATTAATTTTTTTATAATAGATTTTGAAAATTTTGAACGTCTACACATTTCATAACGGCTAAATTGCTCTTGGCTAAAATTCTGTAATAGTATCCTAATGGAAGGGGGAAGGGGGAAAAAAGAGAAGAAAACGAAGATGATTAGAACAAAGTTAGAAACTTTTTTTCAAGAATATTTTCTCAATGTTTGCTTTTTCTTAAAGTTTTTCCATACACCATTTTTTCATTCCATGTCAAATTCTGTCGATCATCATCATCATTATTGTTTGACATTGATATTTCTTGATCTTCTTCTTTTTCTTCTTCGTTTTCCATACCATCGTCATCATGATGAAGAGAAGAAGATTCTCTAATGGATGACGATGATTCGTATGTCGAATCATTTAAAGTTGAATTTGTTTTGTTCATCATCATCATTTTATTTGTTTGAAATGAAGCTTCAGATCGCTGGCCACGTTCATCATCAAATTGTTTGGACATTTTTACTAATGATGAAAATTTTAGGATAAAAAAAAAGTTTTCTTTTTTCAAATTTTAACAAAGTTTTTTGTTTGTTTGTTTGATCAATTCTCGAACGCCAGCTGATTTTTCTTTTTCTTTTTTTCGAATTTTCCGAACAACCAAAATGTTGATTGTTTCAAATTGTTCGAATGTGAAAAAAAAAGAAAATATTCAACTTGCATACAAATCTCCATAGACACAGAATCTAATTTTGTTTTTTTTTTTCGTTTCCAATTTACCAGGTTAGGCACACTAATTAAACAGTACATAATCAAAACAAAACGCATTTATTTTGTTTTGTTTCATTGCGTTTTGTTGTTGTTGTTGTTTGAATACAAATCAATCGACCTTGTTTGATTTAATCGGATTTTGATCGATTTTTTTTTTGTTTTCTTTTTTGTTTTTTTTTGTCGTTTGTTGACATGAAAGAAAACTTGCAGAACAAAAAAGAAACATACATCAGATAAAGCACATAGAATCAATCAATGATGATGATATGAATTTGATTGAATAAATCAAAAATCAAACATTGTCATTGTTGTTGTTGTTGTTGTTGTTTTTGTTATTGTTGTTATTAACCATTTAACAACAACAAAAAACAACAACAACAAATAATGATGACAATGAACTTAAACAATGAAATTTTTTTTGAAAATGTTTTTTTATTCTAATTAGCTCTTTTCTTTCTTTCATTTTAGCCCTTTCTCTTCCCTCTTATCGCTAAATATATTCATTATAAAATTCAGAATTTTTGTTTTCCATAATGAAATTCAAAATAATAATCTTGGGCACCTTTTTTTTCTTTTAACATTCTTTTCTTGAAGAAATTTATATACCTGCAACAACAACAACAACAACAACAAAGAAGTTAATTTTGAATGTTTTTCTTGGAAAAAAGATGCACAAAATGAATTTTTCTTCTTTTCTATGAATTTTCTTATGTTCAAAAGAATTTTTCCTATTTTTTTCCCATTTTTTTTTGCATGACTGCTTTATAACAATGTAAATAAAAGTAGACGAAAGCATTCATTCATTCAGTTATTCAATATGG